GTACAGCAGGAAGAAGCTGCTTGGACAAGCAACGAAATGTATCAAACCAAAAGAAAAGTCCAGTTGCCCTGACTCAACCTCCAGACTCTAGCATGTTAGAGCATAAGTTGTCTACCAATAGTGAAGAAAATTTCCTTGTATGCGAATAGAATATCAAATGGCTAACGTAGCAGCACAGGGCTTAGGAATGTTAGTACCAACATAGAGTAAGACTGAAATTCTGGGAGGGATGCTCTATTTCTATCAAAGCTTTCTTGAAGTGCCTCTTTGAAGTTGTGTTGCAAAGTGAAGCATGTCCCACTTCTAAAGATCAAAGCAGAGTATTGCTTTGTTTTAAGCTAATAATGGACCAAAGCTCCAATCAACAATATAGCATTGCTGAGGATATTATGAGTTTATATAAAATAGAGCAATGCCAGTTATTTTAGCTTTTACTTTGCTCATTTTTTAAAGACATATTTCCATTTACATAAGCAGTAAACATCTACATATATTTGGAACTGTATACACATCAAATTCGTCCTTGTCTGCCAGCTTGCATGCCATGGTTGGTTTGCTGTTTTGTTCCTCTTTACAGACATCTTATTATCACCTGTCAATAAATTTGATCTAGCTTATTTGCTTCCTTTTGATTTAGAATGTTCTATCCCCCTTAAATTCTCTAACTCAGTTTCCTTCACAGTAGGAATTCTTTGTAAGAACCTCTGCACCCATGTTTCTAATTTTAAAAAACTAACCAAATGAACACTCAATGTTTTATCTGTATTCATTCTTATTAAATTGGTTTCTCCCTTGTAAAATGTAATAACATTTTAAGACTAATGAATGTGCAGTCTGCCAGCATTTGAGTTTCAATACACATGTTCACATGGGAGAGACATTTGCTAGCCTAGGAAGAATATATTCCCTTAAGGGCTGCCTCCTTCAGGATGAAAAAAAAGTTCTTTAGAACTACAGGCAGCAAAGCAAGAAGCTTCCTGAGCTGGAAGTGGGGTGTACCCTCTCTCCACAGCTCTGATGAACAGCTGGAATTAAACCAAGAAGCCAAGGGAGGTCCAGGGAAAAGAAGCAAAGGACCTTTTCATCAAGAGGATTCTGTTTAGGAAGAAATTGCTAACCAATGTTAACTAGGATACTGCATTCAAATTTTGCGCTGTCTCTGTGTTAAATCTATCTTGTTTTTATTTCTCTGTGTAAGGTTTGCCCCGTTTGACAGAGAAACTCCCGTGACACGTGTGGTTCACAAAAGAGGTTTACTCATGCGTAACATAGCA